CATACTTATATTATATAACACAAATAGTTTTGAAGAAATAGAAATGATATTGTTTTCATATTTTTAAGAGAAGAATTTTTTGTTTTTGAAACTGTAACAGGAAAGTTGTATGAAATAATAAATAAAAAAACAAAAGAAAAATTTTTGTATTGTAAATGACTCACTCTCTGAGTTTTTTTGACTAGAATGATGCAAAAATTTTAATATAAATATAATCTAATAAATTAAAATATATTAATGGAAGAAAAACACTGTGAATACTGTGGAGAAACAACTGGTATTGTTCAGTGTCAATGTGGTAAATATTTTTGTAATGGTAAAATTATGAATGCTGGAATATGCCAACTCCTTTATCATATGAGAGTTAATTCCCATTTTAGTATCTCTTTTGATGGAGTTGTGCTAAAATGTTCTCAATGTGAAGAAACAAATATATATAATCTTCATTATAAATATAACTCAAAAAATTTCTTATGTTCTCATTGCTTAAAACGCCAGAATAATAAAATAACCAAACAACTATACACTAAGAGTATTGTTAATGAAGGTGCTGTTATAATAGATAACTATGAAGTTGGTCAATCTGTTTCTTGTGTTAAACAAGATTTAGTTGATAATATTGAATCGCAATTCCCAAAAGAAAAAACAAATAAAAAAGTTAAAGATAAATATTTAACACTTAAAGATTATGTTCAGACATACTTATATCTATCTATAGTTGAAAAGAAAGAAGATCGTAGAGTAGTTGAAGTTGAATTAAGACAAGAAAAACAAAATATTAAATTTGAAAAGCAAGGTACATGTACAGTTGTGGAGATTAACCTTTATAAAGCTATTGGAGGTCTTCACGTAGAAGACGAGGTGATCATTAGTTGTGGTGGGTTAAAAGGAATGATTAGTGACACAAATTCAATAGAAATAAAACTATTTCCATCTTTAATCTTTAAATCATCAAAATGTGTATTTGGAGGAAACATTACTTCAAGTAGAGGTAAAACAGTTACTGTTCAGTTAGATGATTTTCTTTTTGGAA